GAAACAATTTGGCTTCACTAGAAGTGGTATAAATGATTGTGTGGCAAACAGTTGGGCTCTACTAGAAGTGGTGTAAATGATTGCGTGACAAACAGTCGGGTTCCACTAGATGTGGTGTCCTGGCATGGCCCCATACTCCATTTGTAGCTGTACTGGCCCCATTCACCATTTGTAGCTGTCCTGGCCCCATTCTCCATTTGTAGCTGTACTACTAGAAGTGGTGTAAATGATTGTGTGACAAACAGTCGGGCTCTACTAGAAGTGGTGTAAATGATTGCGTGACAAACAGTCGGGTTCCACTAGATGTGGTGTCCTGGCATGGCCCCATTCTCCATTTGTAGCTGTACTGGCCCCATTCACCATTTGTAGCTGTCCTGGCCCCATTCTCCATTTGTAGCTGTCCTGGCCCCATTCTCCATTTGTAGCTGTACTGGCACCATTCTCCATTTGTAGCTGTCCTGGCCCCATTCTCCATTTGTAGCTGTCCTGGCCCCATTCTCCATTTGTAGCTGTACTGGCCCCATTCTCCATTTGTAGCTGTACTATTCCTTTTCCTTAATTGAATCATTGTACTTGTTTAATGGTAGCATTGTAATAAAGCTTTGAGGAAATATAGAATTCTCAGGAATATTTAACAGCTTGCTCTTATTGGGATTCATACACAGATGTATTTTAACACAGGACATCATAATATAGTTAGATAGATAGATTTATTTGGTAAAACATTTCATCAATACATAAAAGTACATCACATGGGCAATACAATACATGTTTTACCGGGATAACACAGTAATGTCACAGACTTATTTCCACTGTGGTCCCTAACATATAACATAAATACGATCATTTTACAAATACAATTACAAGTCAATACATACACATATTTATCACAGGGTAATATATTGAGTACAAAATTAACATCACCACCCTACGTTCTGTGTCACATATGGTATTCATATATATATATTCATATAAGTATAAAACACTAACGGTCTCTGTTGTATAAAACGCATTATGTGTTACACATAACTAGTCATAAAATATCAAGAACTCTGCTGTAAAAATGTTTTCACTCTCTTCTTTAAATTTATTTTGTTTGCTATAGACCGTATATCAGAAGGTAAAAACGTTCCAAATCTGAATCCCGTTGTAAAAGAAAGTCTTTGACATCTGACCTTTTGCACATGGCACTGTAAAGTTTAAAGTTGATTTTCTAGTTGTGTATCCATGGCGTTCATTAACCCTCGTAATTTTTTCTGTAATATAACTTGGACAAGTTTTGTGAAATACATTGAACATATGGTTTAAGCCCAATTGCTTTGCTCGGTTTTCAACATTCAGAAGATTCAGATAATATTCATTCATCACGCATAAATTTGTATATAGAACATCTGCCGTTCATATTTTAAATTTGTAAAATGGTTTAGAATTTATTGAACTCTTGTTTTAATTTCCTGTTTAATTTGATCACTTATTTGCAATGTTCCTTTACAGCATGGAAGAGAATACAATGATTCACCGTTCAGGAAGCTGTCACAGTCATTTCATCTGGATATGGTTGGAGGAAAGCCAGTCACAGCCAAACAGACATTACTGGGCGCCATTGATACCGTTATCACCTCCCACACACCTCTCAAACGCACTGAGGACTCGCACTTCAAAGCTTTTATATCTCTAGCTCTCAAGTAAGTCAACATACAGAAAAATGTAGATAGTGAGTAGGAGTGTGTGAAAATCTAGAGCAACCAATGGTTACCAATCATATAAACCTGTGTAAGTCTACAGAAAACTATTGATACCAATCATATAAACCTGTGTAAGTCTACAGAAAACTATAGATACCAATCATATAAACCTGTGTAAGTCTACAGAAAACTATAGATA